GTGTGTGTGTGTGTGTGTGTGTGTGTGTGTGTGTGTCTAATGCTGTTCTAAATTAGAAAGTCTTGGTATTTATTCATATACAGAAATCAATTATTTTTCTTTTTTCTTTTTTCTTTTATGTTGTGCTCTTGCATACAGTACATCATCCCCCATGTTTTTTATTACATTTTTTTTTGTACAAGGTGGACAATATTGGACTTAAAGTCACTTAAAATATTTTAAGTGATCAATATATAGAAGTTAATTCAGTTAAACTGGGATGAGTGAATCACTTACATCACTAACTGTATTACAGTATGATGTTTGTTGATGTAGTAGGACTTTTACTTTAACTGTGCAATAAATGTAATTAAAAACACCGATACAGAGACAGCGTATTCATTTATTTATTTTTGGTTGGTGGGAAATACCTCAAACTATTATTAGAAACCATATTTGTACAAAAGTACAAATACAAAAATACATTCAGAGGAGGAATAATATCTTAAAATTTGCAGGCCCGTATTTATTAATGCATTATTTTATCAAACCTATACCTCCTGTTAATAATGTGCAATCTTCTTTTTCTTCGGAATAGTGCCACAAACTGATATATACTGTATATGCTGTCTGCTGTAGTTTACTTTTTATTTTAAATTACTTTACAGAGTATATATTTTATTATGAATATACATTTGGTGTGTATTTGGTTATACTGTAGTTACTGTAAAGTGTGTACTACTGTAAGCGTGAATAATGACATCATACATGTCATACATCTACCAGCCACCAGATGGCAGCAAGTAGTCAGACTTTGTTTAAATGTGGGTCAGTAGCTTTGGACCCAAATCTAGACTGTATTAATAAACTGTTGAAATGTATCCAATAAAATTAGTGTAACATTTTGCGTTTATATTATTTTGTTAGATTGCAAAAAATATATTTAAGTTATGTTTATCTACATGTAACAACTAAATCATAATTTTTAAACTGTAATTTCAAAAGTAGATTTCATTAAGTTAAATCAGATACATTCTTACTTTTTAGATAGATAATATTTAACACTGTTGAAAAATTATTTTAACAGTGTAAACAGCACGGTAACATGATAAATGTACATTTTATTACCTTTAATTAAAGCTTGCTAATATTTTAGTTATTGGATATACTGTATTAGCTCAGATGCAGCTGGTGTATTTGTCAGTCAGACTTCATCCTGACTCTTTCTTGATGAACCCTGTCACCCACTGGGACAGACACTTTGTTTTGCATTCTACTGGCAGAGAAATGTGCCAGAGGATTTACCACTCATGCATGAAGAGGAACATTGTGCACAAAATAAACAATGGCAACAATTAAAGGGATTCTGGAGGAAAGTCTCACAGATGTCTGAGCAACATTTTGTGTACATTTGCCTAGAAAGAAAAAAATATTACACAATCACAAAAATGTTTGACACATGTGATGTTTGACATGGATATGTGATCAACGTGATGTCTCTTATTCTAGAGTTTCTGACAAGAGTAAATACTGACATCAATATCAACAACAAAAGACAGATTTGAATTATTCTTAACTATAATATTCACATTTTTTCATACATTCTAAATGACGTGACTATTTTCAGGTTTGCGTTGCCTTATCCTGGCTCAAATTAGGCAAGCAAGATCTTTTTTTTTCTCAACCTAAAAGAGATAATAGAATCAATTGTAACGTGTTTTCATGTAAATTACTTTGCATTTGGATCAAGAATACGCTAAAAATGTAATAACAGTGGAATTATTGATTTATATTTGTGCCTAATAAAATGTCTCATGATCCCCGTGTTTACAAGCCATAACGCCGCTTCAAAAAGCCACATTACTACATTTCCCAGAAGGCAACTGTATGACCTTTAAGCCCCGCCCATTTATTATTCCTAGCTTCTCGCCTCACTGTTTTGCTGTGATTTTCTGCTCCTGGGGGGACACACCTCGTCCTGCGACACAACTCATCGTCTTTATTTGCACTTTAAGAAAGCAAAAATAGACAGAAAAAAGGCTTCGAGTCGCATTTAGCTGCATATTATCGTCGAGGGTGGAGGAATTCTGCTGGCTTCACCGTGCCTGACAGGTTTAGGAAGCGCTTCCCACCTCCCCTCCGCGGAGCCTCATCCGGCAGGACCAGTCGTTGTGGTCGGGCTGTTCATGTTCGTGAGAGCTGGGTCCTCTCTTGTTCCAGCGCGGGGCTGCGGGGCCGTGCAGCCGTGCTCCGGGTCGTTTATACGAACCTACAGAGCATGTTAATCGCGGCAGGCCAAGCGGCGGACGGACTGGAGATGCCCACAGGCTAACGCCGCTAACGTACGCGGACCACGGCTAGGTCGCAAACATTTGGAGCTTAGCACACAGCTGTCAAAAATAACAACGCAGCATTGATAGTCATTGATTTTAGGAGTTTATTTTTTTGTTTACGAGGACGAACAGCTAAGAAAAGATGAAAAACAGAGGCTAGCTAAACAACTAACACCAAAAGAGAGTAAAGGTACAGTTTACTAATGATTCACTCATCTATGAAGTTGTCTCGTATCGACTTGTTTAACAAAGCCTAACTTGAGCATGATAACCAAGTAACGAAACAAAGGCGGTGCGATAAGATAGACGTTTTCATTACATCACTTTAAAACACTAGTTTGTTCACTTTAAACCTGTTCGCCATGACGGAGGGGAACGTTCAGCAGCAGAGGACCCCTTTAGCCCGAGAGCTAACCAGGGTGTTCAGCAGCTACAACAAGCACTCCATCCAGCTGAGGAAGAACCTGAAGGAAACCAACGCTTTCTTTCGGGAGATAAGGCAGAACTACAGCAATGCCAGTGCATCAACAACAAGCTCGGATTCAGCCTCTCTGGAGGCAGGTGAGTTTCAGCACTCCTGTCCCTCTGCAGCACCTGAGGTGGTAAAAACTAGCCACCCACAATTGGATTAAAACCTTCTGTGGCCTTGAAGTGAAGCAAGAAGTAACCAGTTAAGTGATTTACTTCTCCAACTGGCGGGCTGAGAGAGAAAATCCATTCATTAGAGTCATGGAAGGAGATTAAAGCCCCTGTGAAATGCATGAGCAGACTAAGAGCACCAAATATGCTGAGATTTCTGCACCAGCTTGCTGAATGTCTGACATGGCAGTCTTTTTATTTGGGCTTCAGTGGCTGGTTTTGTGCTGCTTATCCTAAACCCCAGCAATATTTTGAATCTGTTGGCCTGTTTGTCCAAACTTTTCAGCATGTGATGCAGACATAAGCTGTGAAAAGATAATCAAATTAGCAATTTAATTATGGCCGACTTGGATAGAAAGAGTGGAGTTTTCCATGAATTTGCAGCTTTACTCATGGTTTAAGAATGGAGCCACATTTCTAATTTTTAAAACTCTTTGATTAGGTTCATATGATACATGTAAATGATTAAATTGATCCTACTAATTAATGCACACGAGCCACAAAACTGCCTCTATTTTCACAGTGAAGTTGCACAAGAATAAGATAACTGTTTGTCCTTTATCCACCCCCACTCATCATAAACTTTATCTATCTATCTATCTATCTATCTATCTATCTATCTATCTATCTATCTATCTATCTATCTATCTATCTATCTATCTATCTATCTATCTATCTCNTCTATCTATCTATCTATCTATCTATCTATCTATCTATCTATCTATCTATCTATCTATCTATCTATCTATCTATCTATCTATCTCCTCCCACTCTCCCTCCCATCAATCAATCAATCAATCAATCAATCAATCAATCAATCAATCAATCACAGTTTCATACACTGTGGCATTAAACCATCCTAGATCATGTCCAGATATAGAGCACAGCTCCAGCCTTGAAATTTCTCATCTGAATATTTGCTTCAACGAACATGAACCAGGCTCCAGTTCTTGGCTTCTGGTGCCCACCACCACCGCAGCAAACCTGCACACTGTGCCAAGCACCCCCCCACCTGTCCATCTGTAGTTCAAGCTCAAGTAATTTGTAATTTCTTCAGTGTTCACAATCCCAGTAAAATAGTTTCTGATTTAGAAGCTATTAATGTTCAGCTCAATCTACCCTAAAAATAAAAATCTTTTCAAATATTAAGTTTTTTTGTTGCAATTACACAAGTAGATTAAATGTTTTGCAAGCCCTGATTAATTTAAAATTACATTTACTGTCTAAAAATATAAAAACTAGAACATGAACTGATATAAAAATGTAAATAAATAAAGCAAAGAAGTAGGATAATCACCCTTTTCTAACTTTTAAGTGTGAAATAAAAGATTTGTAAAACTAAAGTTTAAAGAACCTCTACCCTAAGAAGGATATCCCTCTGTGTTTTTCTTTATACTATCCTCTGCAGCTTGGCTTTTCTTGGTTTCACATTCTAGGTAGTGCCACCTGATACTAGTATTTATTATTTTCTGGTCTACCTGAGTCATCTTATACCATGTGATCACGTTGAGGCGCTGCAGACAGACACCTGTTGGTGTCTGCAGCAGCCTGCAGAGCTGTTACACTTCACTACTGAAAGTTTGATGTGATTTCCAGCATAAATCACACATTTCTATTTTGCACATATGGCWTAAATAATAAATTAACAGCAAGCTGCTTCAATGTACAGCTAATTTTTTACTCTTTCAGCTGAAGTTGAACTCAGTTGGGATCTTTCCCAAAAGATATTCAGATCTTTTTATGTTCCCTGTTCCCACAGCAAGTCATCCTCTTCCAACTACTGTCCTCTGACTACGTCCATATTTCTCCTCTTTGTCTTTTTCTCTAATATCCTTCTACCAATAATACCCACTGTCCCTCCTRTGGACATGTCCAAACCATCTCAGTGTCTAACTTTATCTCCCAGTTCTTGTCCTAGTTTAGGGTTTTGTCACAAATCACTCCTGCAGCTTTCCTTTGTCCACCTCCTTCTTCACCTCTTTACCACACTCCTGGTTCTCCTGGACAGTTGACTCCAAGTACTTGAAGTTCTGCACCCTTTGTGACCTCTGCTCCTTGTAGCCTCACCGTTCCACCTGCTCATTCACACACAAACGTACTCTGTCTTGTACAAACGCTTGTCGTGGACTCATTGACATCAATACTGAGTAAACTTTATTGTATGCAATTATTCATCAGAAAAACCATCAACAATTAATTTCTGCCACTTTGCAATGACTGCTGTTAGTGCCATGTGATGATGTATCTTTGTGTAACCCTACAAACTTGTTTAATCACCTGAAACACTGTCATACCCGGAGGATGAGGAAAGAGTGCAGTCGTCAACTATTAATTGTTATTGGCTAAATGCCTCAATTAATCATGATCTTTTTTTTATTTATTTTTGCCAATTTTGCCTAACCCTAGTCACAAGTTATATTGTAGTGTAAACACAAATCCACTCACAGAGGGGAGCTGAGTGTTCATTAAGGTTGGGCATAATCGTATCGTGAGCAATTAATCGTCAGAAAAACATGAATTATTTTTTGGCACTTAACGATTAATACGATTAATGTCACCAGGCAGAGTCTGCTCGGTGCTCCTCTCCACTTCAAATATGACGAACTTATTTATCTCTCAACACAATTTAAAATTTGAGGTATAGCCTAAAGTCTGTAATTTTGACACAATTTGGAACAGATGTTTACGAAGAGCAAATGTTTCCCACTAAATTGGTCCTGTGGCTAGTAGGGATGTCCCGATCCAGATTTTTTGGCTCCCGATACAATCCGATTTTTTTTAACGATTAGTCTTTCCGATACCGATCCGATAACTTTATTTCTTTATTTCTTTCCAAGTGATAAGGTTGGTAGTATTAAAGCGAGCCCTGCTGTTCCCACCACGAGAAATATCCAGTTTGCAGATTTTGCAAGATGCAGTTTCAGCATCATTGTTTTCCATGGAAAAGTGTTCCCACACTGTGGACATGGTTGCATACTTGTGTGCGTCTTGACTTCTTAACGGCAGTTGTAAAGCTCTCTCTCTCTAATTCTCACTTCTCTCTGCAGGTCAGCTCAGCTGCATTTGTTTCCCAACCCATGAGGAAGAATTCCTACGTAACACAGTTGGTGCTGCCCCGTCTGTCCTGGTTCTGGGTCAGGACTGCGCTGCCCGCTACCAGCTGCTCAACTGCCTCCTGGGAGAGAGGCTGCTGCCMCTGGGCCCTGAGGCCGGAGAGGCGTGCAGGGGAGTCCAGGGCCTGGTCTGCAAGAGGAGGAAGCTGTGTTTCACCCACGGGAGGCAGACCCGGATCAGCCTGGCGCTGCCCGGTCAGTACGAGCTGGTGCATCAGCTGGCTGCCAACCGAGGCCGCTGGGATACGGTTCCGCGGGAGGACCTGGAGATCCACGAGGAGTGTGAGGACCCGGCTCACAGGTTGGCTGAGCTGGAAATCACTCTGCATCACCCCATGCTTCAGGTAGACACCAACATCTACAGACCTGACAAAACACAAATTACGATGCCAGTTCTGGGCATTTGTTCTGTGATGGTTTAAAATATATACTTATCACTGTTAATAGAATTTTCTCAAACAAATAGATTAATTACAAAAAAAAATCTATGTATAAAGTAGGGGTGCAACGATACAGAAAATTCACGGTTTCAATACTTTAGTCTCACGGTTCGATATATTTTCGATACAAAAAAGAGAAATGTCCATGCTCTTTTTAACTTGTAATTTATTTAAATTAATTATGACCATTTGTTTAACCTCAAAAGTACAGTTTTTTAAATTAAATGTTGCTGAAAAAGCAAGTTTCTCAGTGGATCTGCACTCGACAAGGCAGCCTAGGTGGAATAGTCGAACACAGATCCACTGATCCTTCAACACAGAGCATCTTCAGAAGACAAGCTGATAAAATACATTTTAAAAATCTGTATTGTTCGATAAAAGTGTGTATTGAACCTAAAGCACTATATTGAACAGTTCGATGGGGGTACATGTATTGTTGCACCCCTAGTATAAAGGCTTAATATGTACCCTGCTGCTCAGGTTTATTTTATTAAAGTTTTGTGATTTATAGCTGTCATCTTTGAGACCCTGTCACACTAGACAACTTATGAAACATTTTTTACATTTAAACTGCTAATAAAAGTTATATATTTGGTTAATTTGTTAGAATTACAGTATGTACACGCTGAAAAGAAGCTTCCTGTTGAGTTTTTTCAATTCCATCTTCAACGTAGACGTCTTTAAAATGTTCATAAGTTGATATAAGTTGTCTAGTGTGACAAGGGCTTTAGAGGCTACATTCAGCTCAAGTGTGTGGGCTTCTGCTTTTTATAAACTCATCTGTGGTCTAATGTACTACCTTATTTAACAAGCTAGAAAATACCTTATGGTGATAAATTGATTTAAAATTTATGGCTGTAATAGCGAGTTCTTTGATTTTATGTTGTTCAACAAAAGGTTAAACTTTAATTGAATCAAGCTTTTTAAAAATATATATTTTTAAATTCTTGAAGATTCTTCTAAACAAAAATGTGTGAAATTTTCATTTTGGTGAAACTGAAGAATTTAATTGCCTTTTGTGCAGAGGTACTTTAAACAGATCAATCAAATAATTGGGACATAAAATAACGAACAAGTAAATTAAGCAACAACAAAAGTTGACAGTTGTTTTGAAATACTGCTCATTTGTTTTAACTTAATTTAATTTTATATGTATAATTGTGTTTATTTGTACTATTATACATCCTCGTTTCTAAAGTAATTTAAAAACTAGGACTAGGTAAGATTATGTAATTTATTTTAAGTTTTGGGAGGTGGTACTTTTTGTCTCTTTAACACGTTTTTACTCACGTGGCTGAGCTCAGAACAACCGATTACCAGAGGGGATTATTTAAAACACATTTCCTGATTTGTGCTACTGTTTGGGAATGCACTTGTTAAAAACAAGTCTTAAAGTTCAGGTTGTGAGGACAAAAGAAGAAATGCAGGACAACAAAACCAGCGTGACTCTAGAAAAAAAAATCACAGCCTCTTTCTGGAGGGAGGTGGTCTGGTCATGGTGTGAGGACGGCAGTCATTCTTGTCATGTGGTGAACATGTAAAATCTGCCTCTAATCGTTTAGACCGAGGTCGTTTAACGAGCGCCACACAGTCCTGGAAACTGAGCTCCTCTCTGCCTCGGAGCGGCCCGCCCCGGCCGGCCCCCTTACGTAAAGCCTCTGGTCTGGTGCGATTCACATGACTGGGTCGTGTAAAAAGAGGGGCAAAAAAAAAAAAAAAAGATTTCAAACCTTTGGCTGTGATACCATCTTCATGTTTACAAATAAATTCTAGGACACTGGCGCAATGAAAACAAGTTATGAGGGTTTTTTCCAAAGCACGAGTCAAGATTTTTGCTTCATCAGACCTAAAACAGAAGGTCCATTCAGGAAGTTATTAATCAATCATTATTTAGCTTTTTTATTAGAAATCAAATTTTCATCAGTGTTGGACTCGCATCATTCTCACACAGATGAAATAAATCTTCAGATTTAGTGTTTCGGACAAAAACTACAAATTTAAAGCATTTTAATGGCACAAGCTTTTACACTTTTTACTTTATTATCACCAACATCCAAAAGGTGAATCTGTTTTTGCCTGTGTTTGTCTCTGCTAGCAAAARATTTCAACAACCCCTGGATGGATCTAATGTGCTGCAGCTAATCAACCTTTGACAGAAAAATAGCTCCAACTCAGACATTTGTGAAGAGACTGAGCTAAAAGTCYGTGTGGTGGTTGAGTCATCTCTAAGCACTAACAGGTCGAGCAAGATCTTTGTTTAAAGCTTTGGCTTACAAGGCGTAAGCCGACACGCACTTCTTCTTCTTCAAAAAGCTGCTGGTTTTYTTTAGATATAGTGATAAATAATCTAGTCTTTGTCCCAGATAACGACAGTGGTTTGATCTTAATCAGGATCTGTTTGTTCCTTAAACTGTTCTTCATGAAAGTGATCATCTTCTCCTTTTGACTGGACACCAAACATGGGTTTGTCACAAGCTGAGGCAGAGTGCTGCTGGGCTTTATGTTGCTGCTGAATGAATAAGACAGAGCCATGTTTAGTGGGCGATAAGTGAAGCCACAGAATCTCTCCGCTCGCTGTGGTATTCACACTGTTCTGTTAGAATCACAGCACCCTGCTTCAGAGGCCTCCTGATGACAACTAATTAGTTTTTCATCATCCTGAACCTTACCGTTGTCTTTAAAGTCGGTTTAATTARGAAGACACGAAGGGACCAAACCTACCACAGCTTTTCTAAAATCCTCCTCTGCACATGTTTACGTTGACCACCTCACAAATCTGTTTTCTTGCTAACAGAGCTGGGTTAAATCACTTCTAAAATATGCAGAATGAAGAAAGCTGTAGGATTTGTCTTTGTATTGTTTTTAGGATTTAGCCACAGAAATAATGCCGTGCTTTAAAAACACACTTGGTAACTTCAAACCGCCTCAGACCTCATGTTGAAGAGTTGTTATTGGGAACGGGCTGCATGAATTCAAACACTGCGCTGATTTTGATTGGTCATGAACCAATGTTTGCAGGCTATCCTTGTTCCAGAAACTCTTCAGGCCGACTCGCCTCTTGTTTCTTGGAGACAGGACTGACTGTCTCTTTTGTTCAGATGTTGGTCGTCTCTGCCTCTTTTCTCTGTTTTTTTTCTCCCTGTCACGGATTCCCTCTCAGACTATTTATGGATTTATTTTTGTTGATGTTTTTAATTATTAAGGGTCATAAAATTTATTCACATACGACAGTTTTTATTTCTTTCTTTCTCTCTGCCTCATTACGGACATTCTCAGGACCACCACAAATATTTTTTTGTGGCATTTATGTGATCAGAAATAGAAGGGGCATGTGATGAGTGAGTGTGGCTGAGCAGTTGTTTATAAGCAGGACCTATAATTTCTGATTAAAACAGGCTCATTTAATTCTGGGTTTGGTGACTTGTCATTCTCGAAGGAGTCTCTGAAATCACTTAAGTTCAAGGGAGTTTTCAATTTCCTCATGTGAATTTCAAACATATTTGAAAGATTTGTGCAACCAATTTTGTCCCAACATAGTTGCAAATTAGTTGTGGGAGTCTCAAACCAGTCTCAGTTTAGTTTTTAGGGGTTTTTGAGCCCTACTGACCTCCTTTTTTGCAGATATCTATTACATTAAAGTTATTGTAGATCTCCCTTAAATTTAGATTTTTAAGGGAGACTTTAAAGTGTCCCTTAAAAAAAGGAGATTTTAAGGTCTAAATTTTTTTTCCTTTACATTTTTATTCCACTCAATGTGTGATTTATTTATTTTCTATTATAACTTTTATATTGTGATATATATCGTTACCGCCACCCATCATAATGTATATCGTGATATGAATTTCTTTGCCATATCGCATATTCCTACACAAAACCTGTTTAATTCTCTTCGGCTGACAAAGTCATCAGAAGATCTGTGTGCGTCTCTGTGGCCTGAGAGGAAACCTCAGGTTTAACTCTGTGGTTTTGTAGATATATTTTTCCCACACTTCATCACTATGGCAGCTTTTTCCTATAAACATAACCTCCTCGGGTGAAAGTTAAGAGGTCAACACGTATGCACGCACAACCGCCTGACGAATAAATGTTCCTGGAAAATTTAAGGGGGGGGCTCATCTGTGTTTGTGTGGTGAGGTGTTTTCTTTCATGGCTTTCTCATGTGTTTTTCCATTTGAGCGTGTATGTGAGCATATTGTAGGAATTTATCACAAGGGACAGAGTTTATCTGTCTGTGTTGATCTCGTAAGAGTTCACAAGTAATATAGAATTATATTTAAATCAATGCACAGCTTGTTTTTAATCATTTTTGATCGTTTAATCCATTCCCATTGCCGCTGCAACAAAATACATTTCTCTGCTCAGGGTCAAAAATTAAATATTCTGTTTAATTGTCCTGATGCATCTCAGTGATCCAGGTAGAAAAATCAAAAAGAAAAAATTAGTAGGTCCTCTGGACGGACCTACTAATTTTTTCTTTTTGTTCTGTTTAATTTAATTGTGTTTTTGATGTTTGTGGTTTGTCTTCAGAATCAGTTTTATTGCCATTGTCAATGAACAGGATTCACAGACTAGGATTTTGCTTTGMTGTAAAGGTGCAATAGGTATCAAATATAACAAATGAAGAAAAAAAAAACAAAGGATGAAGGAAAAATATAATAATATATATATTATATTCAGGAGGCGAAGGTGATGGTGGCACCCTGTTCCAACGTCCAGCCCATAGAAGAAGCCCTGGAGGACTGCACTCGCAACATGATTCCCATCATCCTCTACGCCATCAACCAGGACTCCCTGACCTCGGAGCAGGCGGCTGAGCTCTGGAAGGTCAAAGAGATGCTCTCCTTCCCCGTCTGCTTCATCCGCGTCCCCGACGCAGCGCCGGCGGCCTCTCCGGAGCCCGGGCGCCGGGCGGAGAAGGACCGGGAGAAGAGCGCCTTACAGAAGCAGCTGCTCTCGCTCGGCCTCTTAAACAGCCAGACGGGGAGCTGTTCCTGCGGCGCCCCCACGCAGGTCCCCACCCCGGGGGCCAAGCCCCAGAGCGTGCTGGGGGAATCATTCGAAAGACTGCACCGGTTGCTGGTTCCGTTCGCTCGCCAAGTCCTCCAAAACCAACAGGTGGAGGCCGCCAACCTGCTCAACAAGCTTCACTGTCGATGTCTGGATCTTTTCATCAACCAGGTCAGAAGATGACGTACAAAGTGTTTGCTGGCTGCTCTTTATGCTTTTGATCCTCAGTTCTTCTGACGAAAACTAAAGCGGAGCTTCTGTTGTCCCTGCAGGCCTTCGACATGCAGCGGGACCTGCAGATAACCCCCCGCAGGCTGGAGTACACCCGCGAGAAGGAGGGCGAGCTCTTCAACTCCTTGATGGCCATCGCCAACCGGAAACAGGAAGAGATGAAGGAGATGATCGTGGAGACCCTCAGCGGCATGAAAGAGCAGCTCCTGGAGGACGCAGCCAACTTGGAGTTTAAAGGTTGGTGAGGAYACTCTCAAAAACCACAGACAGGATTAAAATTAGACCTTTTCCTTCCTCCTTTTGAGTCGAGGGATGTTTAAGCAATGCTCTGTGTGTAAATGTGCAGGTGTTTGATAACCTTTTAAGATGTTTCCAATTTCATTTACTACTTTAAATCTCGTACAGGTGTCGCACAGTTGTTTGAATTTTGGATACATTTTTTTAGAAACACAGCTTCTTTAGTTAGTAGACAGACACGCTTTGTGTGCGTCTCAATCCTTCTCAGTTTTGTTTCTGTTATTCTAGAGAGCTTATTTTTATTTACACCACTCAGGCCTCGAGTTCCCAGATAAGTAGAAAAATATAGAATAGTGACATTTCACCACCTTTTATTTAAAGGGATCCACGATTAGTTGTAACATTAGACTTTATTTAATAAACATATTTTTTTGACGGAGAGGAGAAGGTAGAAAACTGAAAATATAGATGGAGGACAACAGAGCTGCTTCATGGAAGAAGAACCTCAGCTTAGCCTGTTAGTTTTAGCATTAGCCCCGACGCTATCACCATATTTATGTATTAGCTCAGCGCTACACATTTTCCTCTCATCGCTGAGGTCCTCCATCCACATGACAGAGAGGGGAACACAAAAACGACTCAGCCTGCAACTGAAAATATGGATTGAGGACTTGAGTTTAGCTTTTTAGTTGCGCTAGGGCCAAGCTAATACATGTAAGGCAATACAGCGTCGGCGCTAGCACGAAGGCTAACAGGCTCAGCTGAGGTTCTTCTTCCATGAAGCAGCTCTGTTGTCCTCCATCTATATTTTCAGTTACAGGCTGAGTCATTTCTACCTTCTCCTCTCTGTCAACGCTCTCTGGTTTCATTTAAGAGTCAATCATCAGATATTGTCCAAGATTAACCTTCAGGGTGGATATAGCTCGCTCACACCGAGGACCTATCAACGTCATCATTTACCCAGAATGCTTTGTGTGCAAATAAAATGGCTCCGTCTGTGTTAAAATATATTTTTTTAAAAATTACAAAACTGAACAGCCTACAGTATTTTTACAGTCTTTATTTTATTATTTTATTTCATTTTGAACTTAATCTGCTCTTTTAATTTGAATCAGTTAGTGAGCGGTCCAACACATGAAAAGGGGCATACTTTGGACTTGGTTTTAACTTATGGTTTATATGGACATGTTAATGAAATTATTGATTCCCGTATTTCTGATCATCTGCCTGTTTTATTTGAGTTTAAGTTTGCAGAAGCCTGTGCCTGATTCGCGCGCCTTTGTGCGCTCCCGTCGCCTGATCAACGCACAGACAGCCTCAAATTTTAAAGCTGCTTGTACTGATTTGGAGTTTCCTTCTGTGGATGTCCACCAGTTTAAAAATATTGATCAGCTTCTGGATGACTTTAATTCTGTTTGTACTAATATTTTAGATCTTATTGCTCCTTTTAAATCTAAACGTGCTAAACTAGCTACAGAGCCCTGGCTGAATGATCACACTTGTGCACTTAGACGCAGCTGCCGGCGCGGAGAAAGGAGGGGGAAAAAAGACAAGCTTCACATTTCCTTGGAGTTGTTAAAAGATTGTTTATCCAAATATCAGGTTGCTGTCAAAAATGCAAAGACTCGTTTTATCTCAAATTTTGTGTCAAAATATCAGTAAGCCTCAAACTCTTTAATTCTTTGAACTCGCTTTTAAATCCTCATGATTCATCTTGCCTGAATCCTTCTGCTTCACTGTGTGAAAGGTTTTTAAAATATTTTATAGATAAAGTAAGTGCTGTCAGGTTTTTACTTTTACACAACCCTGATCCTGTTATTTCACATGCATCTGCATCTCCTGCTGTTTTAGAGTGTTTTGAATCTGTGTCTGTTTCTCATATTTCTGAGTTAGTTCAACACCTGAGGTCTTCATTTTGTCCAGGTGACTTTATCCCCTCCAGACTTTTGAAAGAGGCCTTTACTGTTGTTGGTCCATCGGTAGCTGGTTTTGTTAACTTTTCCCTTCACTTAGGGTGTGTTCCAGCTGCCTTTAAACATGCCGTCATTCAACCTCTTCTTAAAAAGAACAACTTAAGCCCTAACAACCTTTCAAATTTTAGACCAGTTTCAAAGTTGCCTTTTCTCTCAAAAGTTTTAGAGAAGGTGGTTTATCTTCAGCTTCAGGACCATTTAGAGCTGAATGGAATTTATGAGAAGTTCCAGTCTGGTTTTAGGTCACGTCACAGTGCTGAAACAACTCTTCTCAGGGTGTGTAATGATGACTTGCTTTTAACTGCAGATTCTGGTGCTTCTGCTGTTTTAATTCTTCTAGATCTCATTTCTGCCTTTGACGCAGTGGATCATGAAGTTGTAGTATCTCGTTTGGAGCAGTCAGTCGGGGTGAAAGGCTCAGCTCTTAAATGGTTTGAGTCTTACTTATCTGATAGGAGTTTTTCTGTACATATTGGAGATTTTTATTTCTCAGAGGCTCCTCTTAAATGTGGGGTACCTCAAGGCCCCATACTGGGCCCCATTTTATTTTCTATTTATTTGCTCCCACTGGGGTCCATCTTCAAGAAATGTAATGTGTCATTTCATTTTTATGCAGATGACATTCAGATTTATTTACCTTTTAAGATCTGGTGGACCTCAGCATATGGAAAATCTGCAGAATTGCTTAAAGGATGTTAAAAGTTGGATGGAGCTAAACTTCCTTTGTCTGAATGAAAATAAAAGTGAAGTCATTGGGTTTGGCAAAACTGACCTGCTGGTAGGATTTAACAATGCTGTTGGCTATTTGGATTTTGATTGTCATTTTATTAGGAATCTTGTAGTTCTTTTAGACAGACATTTTAAATTTGACAAGCAGGTCAGCGCAGTGGTCCGGTCTAGTTTTTATCATTAAGGCTCATCAGCAAAGTCAAGCCTTATCTTCCACATGATACCCTTGAGTATCATGCTTCTATTTTCTCCATACTGGATTATTGCAATTCTCTGTACAGTGGGATTGACCAGTCTTTGCTCCCCCGTCTTCAGTTGGTTCAGAATTCTGCTGCTCATTTGTTAATGGGGACCAAATGATCTGAGCACATTACCCCTTTWTTGCATTCCCTTCACTGGCTGTCTGTTTTGTTTAGGATTGTTTTTAAAGTTTTACTTTTGGTTTTTAAATGTTTAAATGGTCTGGCACCTGGTTACCTTTCTGAGCTTCTACACAGTTACCATCCAGGTAGAGCTCTGAGATCTGAGGATCAGATGGTTTTGGTGGTTCCCAGAACCCAGCTAATGAATAAAGGGGACAGAGCCTTCTCATCTGTGGCTCCTAAACTTTGGAACAGTCTGCCTCTTTCTGTGCGGTCTGCCAGAACATTTATTGAGTTTAAATCTCTTTTTAAAGAACCAACGTTTTGGTTTGGTTTTTAACTCCAGAGAGCACATGCAATAGCCTAGTATCTATCTATCTATCTATCTATCTATCTATCTATCTATCTATCTATCTATCTATCTATCTATCTATCTATCTATCTATCTATCTA